CAACGTGGGTGGAGTAGCAGAGGCAACTTCTGCCCTGCTTCATCTCTCTCACACAGATGAACTAGAAGTGGAAGTTTATGCCTCATTCGATAACACCTACACAGATGGAATAGCAGTGGCATCTTCTGCACAGACCAATCTCTCCAATAGAGATGAAGAAGCAGTAGCAACTTCTGCACTGATCAACCTCTCCAACACAGATGGAATAGCAACGACAATTACTGCCCTACTCCATCCCTCCAACACAGATGGAGTAACATGGGCAACTTCTGCCCCATGCGATCTCTCCAACACAGATGGAGTACCAGGGACAACTTCTGCCCTGCTCAGTCACTCCAACACAGATGGAGTAGCAGCAGCAACTTCTACCCTGCTCAATCTCTCCAACATAGATGCAGAAGCAGTGGCAAATTCTGGCCCGTTCTGTCCTCCAACACAGCTGGAGAAGCAGTGGCAACCTCTGCCCCATTGATCTGACCGAAACCTTTGAAAGTCACTCAAGCTCAGCAAATGATGTGCAGGGATTTAAGAGACAACTTGAGCAACGGTCCTCCTGGGTAGAAAACCCCTTCTGGTTGCCACACTTTTCTTCTTTGTAGAACTGCATAATCTTTGCTTCTCAATAAAGTTCCTCCATCTCACCATAACTGCTGTTGTGAATGTTTTCTTCTAAGGGTAAGCACTCTGAGTTGGTCCCGTTATTCTATAGTCTATTTTTACAGAATTACGGTGATAGAGAGTTTGCTTAAAAGAAAAATGTGCATATGGAGCCTGGGAAGCCCTGTTGCACATAATGTAGATACCAGTACCTTGATGTTTATTATGATTTGTTGAAGAATAACACAAAACGTAATGACATTACGTATTAATGGCAGTTGCAGAATCACATTTTGTACAACCATATGCAAAATGACTCGTGTTCAGTGTTGTTTCCTGGCAAGCACAATTCCAGGTATCCAGGTACTGCCAAACACTGTGGTGTTGGTGCTTTTGCAGCTGGTGGTAGTGCCCAGTCACAATGGATCATGGAGAAGATCCAGAAGTTTTTCTCTGAAAGACATGGAGAAGGTCTGCTGGTTTCTTTTCACAAGGGCACTTAGGTGTGCTTAAAAGCCTGGTAACACCTGCTGGCTGTTGCTTCCTGGTAAGCACAATTACAGCAGGAAAGCATGGAAACACAGCTCTCTTGGCACTTAGTCACAGAGTGCCCTTTTCCTCCCACACCCAGGAAGTGCAGGGAGATGTTCAGCTTAACTGTTCCAACAGATTGTTTTTAATAGACATATGTTCCTTGTCTCTGCAAACGCTTTACAGTGCACTTAACTGTTGGATTGATGTTCTGAGTAAAAGCATAACCCAAGTTAGACTGCATTTCAAAATATCTGCTTTACATAATTGTTGTGGTTTTGTGATTTTTTGTTGTCAGTATTCCACGTCATAACAGCGTGTAAAGCAGAGGGAATTAAAGAGTTAATGTTCTGGTTCCGTGGACTGCCTTTTTTGGGCATTTTTACTTCTCGGAGGGGAGGAGCAGCATTCCCTGGAGCACTTAGTGCCCAGAGGAAAAAAAGGTGGAGCTCCTGGCAGCACACCAGCCTCTCTGTGTAAGGCCTCAGCTTTGGACACACTCTCATTTTGTTTGATTTTGCTGGTTTTAGTAAATTAACATTCCTTTTCAGATCACTGCCCCGCTCTGGGCTTTTTTTAGACCCATCCACTGCTTTCTCTCTCCAGGTGCCAGCATGGGAGTGCCCTGCCTCATTAGTCACGAGGCTGGGCTGGATTGGCCATAAATGGTTAACACTTTTTTTTTTTCCTCCTCTTTCTGCTGGAGAAGAGCTCTGCAAAGAATGACCTGGGGATCCTGGTTGACAACTGGTTGGCTGTGAGCCAGCAGGATGCCCTGGTGGCCAAGAAGTCCTGTAACCTCATTACTGCCGGCCTGAACTATTAATAAAGGGTAGTAATCAGAGGGGCAAATCAGACTGGGGAGTTTTCTAAAAATATCCCTGACCAGGGCCCTAGGGAGGCAGAACACTTCGCTGTGGGTAGGGTCAGGCTGACATATAGAGCCCTCCATTCCTCTCAGAAGGGAGTTGCCTACACAGCCACACTTTTGTCTTTCCTGAGAAAGGAAAATATCAGTGCCTGCTGTTTTCCCTAAAAATAATTTCACCTCAAGAGATGAGTATCATGCAAACCACTTGCACCGACTGTTGCTGGAACACAGCCTGTTCTCTACCTTTTCTACTAGCTGTCTGCAGGGAGGTCTGTGGCGGAAGCTGGTATTGTTTAGGCTGGAGCAGACTCTGGAGTGACTGTTCTCTACAACAGTATGAAAAGAGGTTGTAATGAGGTGGAGGCAGGCCTCTTTTCCCAGAGATAAGTAGCAATAGAACAAGATGTAACAGCTTTAAGATGCACCATGGGAGATTTAGATTGTATATCAGGAAAAATTTCTTCTGAGAAAGAGTGATGAGGCATTGGAACATACTGCCCAGAGATGTGGTGGAGACACTATCCCTGAAGATCTTCAGGAAGCGTGTGGATGTAGCACCCTGGCACATGGTTTAGTGGGCATGGTGAGAGTTGAATGTTGGACTAGATGGTCTTAGTGATCTTTTCCAATCCTAATGACTCTATGATTCTAAGAGGGCACTACCTGCTTCTTTTTTATTATTATTATCAAATAAAACCGCACCCTCGAAGAGCATGTTGTGGGCTGTGCTCAAAATCTCTGCTCTCCGCTATTTGTTTTGCTTAAGCTACTGTTAACAGTAAGAGGCTCAGTTCCATGAATGAGGGTGTTAACCTCAAAGTGTGTTACTGCTAGTGTACTGCAAATGCCAAATGGTACTCAGAAATGCTTCTGATAACATGTAAATTCCATTTAACAAATCAGATCAAGCTTATCCAGCATCTCCCGAGTGAAAGGCCAGAACTTTCTTGCAACAAGGAATTTTTAAAGTGTCCTTGCATTACATTACATAAGACCACCTCTCTTCTATGCTGCATGCACTGGTGTCCTACTTTGGCCTAAACATATCCTCTGTGTATTGGAAAGAAGTGAAAATGATTCCCAAACATTTAAAAATAATTAACTTCACATGCACACTGATAAATATGCAACACCAATACTTTTTTCAGAATCTACTACCAATTAATGCCTTTTGCTCTGATCATCTTAGTGGTTTTCCTCTTGACCCTCTCTAAGAGCTCCCTGTCTTTCTTGTACTGGGGACCCCAGATCTGGCCACAGTACTCCAGATGGGGCCTCAAAAGGTCAGAGTAGAGAGGGACAAATTAATTTTACTAAATAATTTAATCTTCTTACATTACTTACATTAATCTTATTACTTAAGCTACTTGTTAAGCTGTTTATCTTAAATGCAGTGAATGACTGGCAACTCTGAAGTTCTTTTAACTTGGGTTGCAGGCAGTTAATTCAACTTTTTGTTTTAATCTTCTGATACCAAGATACTTTACTCTTTGAAAAGGGAATGGATTCCTATTAATGGAGTAATAGAAGAGAATATCCAGTTTTTGAAAAGGTAAAGACTGAACTGGCTGAGACCACACTGTTCGATGTTTCCAACTGTCTTGAATTGGGAGAATTGCTGCCCGTTGCTTAAGAAATCTTGAACTCATAATGCTATGAGACAAATCAATTAATACTGTGACCTGCTGGGTAACTCCATTTTGATGAGCAGGACATTTCTCATGACAATGTTGCAGACCTATGCACACCATTCTTTGAACACCTGCACAGTGCTGAAAGGCACGCTCAGTTAAGTTTGCTTCCTATCAACCACGCACAGTAAATAACCAATTAATGAGAATTTTGTCTGCAGATGATGGAATGTGAGCTGCCACTATCTTTCCAGACTAATTTCATTCCAAAACAGGCAGGCAGCTATTTGCAACCGGTCTGCATAAGCAGTATTTTCTACACCATTTTTCAATCAAACGGCAAATCACCAACTGCTTAAATGCTCTCTCTTAAATCAAACACCGTGGTGGAAAAGAACGATGGGTACTTTCTGAATGTTTATTTATTCATTCAGTTCATTTTACAGAATCACAGAATGGCCAGGGTTGGAAGTGACCTCAAGGATCATCCATCTCCAACCTCCCTGCCACATGCAGGGCCACCAACCTCCTCATTTAATGCTAGACCAGGCTGCCCAGGGCCCCATCCAATCTGGTTTGAACACTTCCAGGGACAGGGCATCCACATCCTCTTTGGGCAGCCTGTTCCAGCACCTCACCACTCTCTCTGTAAAGAATTTCTCCCTCATGTCCAACCTAAATCTCCACTCCCTCAACTTGAAACCATTTCCCCTCGTCCTGCAGTTATCTACCCTTTCAAAGAGTTGACTCCCCTCCTCTTTGTAGGCTCCCTTTAGGTACTGAAATGCTGCAACGAGGTCACCCTGCAGCCTTCTTTTCTCCAGGCTGAACAAGCACAGCTCCCTCAGCCTGTCCTCATAGGGGAGGTGCTCCAGTCCCCTGATCATCTTCATGGCCCTCCTCTGGACCCTCTCCAACAGCTCCCTGTCTTTTTTGTACTGGGGGCTCCAGACCTGGACGCAGTACTCCAGACGGGGCCTCACAAGAGCAGAGTAGAGAGGGACAATCACCTCCCTGTCCCTGCTGGCCACCCCTCTTCTGATGGAGCCCAGGATCCCATTTGCCTTCCGAGCCACAAGGGCACACTGCTGGCTCATGTTAAGTTTTTCATCTATCAGGACCCCCAGGTCCTTCTCCATAGGGCTGCTCTCAAGGACCGCTCCTTCCAGTCTGTAATTTTAACAGATTATCTCCTCTGACAACCTACATCAGCTCAACTTCTTCCCTGAGCAGATCACTATTAACCTTCTGGAAACCCACGCGGAAACCAGAGAGAGCGATCGGTTGCCCCCGGGGCTTCCCCGCCTGCAGCGCAGGGGCTCCCCTCCCTCCTAGCCGGGCGCAGAACAGTGACGTCATTCGTCGGCGCCGCCAGTGAGCGACGTCATTCGGGGTCGCCACGCGGGAGCGTCCGCTCTGCCTCCCTTCCTCCGGCCATGTTCCCCTCGGCTCCCGCTTCGCCGCGGACTCCCGGCAGCTCGGCCCGCAGGGCCCTCGGCAGCGCCGCTCCGAGTCCCCTGTCCAGACCGGGCAGCAGGAAGAACCTGGCCGTCGTGGCGGCGGCCGGCTCCCCCGGGCTCTTCTCCCCGGTGGCTCGGAGGAGCGGCTCCCTCTCGGCTCGGTGAGTGCGGCTGAGGGGCGCCGAGCCTCGTCGCAGAGTCTGGGCAGGGTGTTCGGTGCTGCAATAACAGTAGCCGGTGGTAGAGGTAATCAGCAGTCGGGCTGGCGATGGAGAAATGGTAACGCCATAACGCCGCACGGCGAGTGAGGTGTTCCCTCCGGTTGCTCTTACAGTTGTGCTGAGGAGTCTAGGCATCAGGACAGGTCCTGTAGAGTAGGATCTTGCCCTCTGCTGGAAGCAGTGTGTAAATCAGCCTCTGTTTTCTATTTTATTTTTGTTTATTCCTTTCTTTTATATGTAATTCAGGCCACAGTAAGAGTTTTCTGCCTTTCTATAGGCTTGATTTATCTAGTGATATTCAGTAAGGAGCCCTTCTGAAAGATGCAGGAAATTCACTTGCCCAGTATTCTCTGGATTGTGTTGATTGAGATATTTTCTTGGTAGGATATTTGGTATCGTCTCACGTTATCCAATTCTGACTAAACACCCTATAATTCAGCATTTTGTGCTTCCTGAATAATGAACAATTTTGGGCTACCCCCCCAAGGCCCCTTAAAAGGCTGGAAATTTACAACGAGAATGACTTCATCCCTCATCCCATGACCACCAGAGATGTGAATTATTTCTTGGAATTTTTGCCCATGTCCTTGGAATGTAATGAAGATGTATTTGCTGTTCCTTTAAATATGTAGTTGCTGCTTCTCTCTGTGTGCATGTTGGTGGAGAGATCCTCCATGCATCCATCACTATAATAATACCTGCTTGACAGAGCTCTGGTGTGTCAGGTTACTTTGTCAGTTTTCTTGGCTTTATTCTTTTAGAGTTTAATATAAAATGCTGCAAGTTTGATATGTTCTAACCCTCTCTTACTAACTTTTGAATGTGAGGATTCCTCAGGTATGTCTGAAATAGAGAAAGGAACAGGAAGCTATATGTGGAAAACAAAACAGAAGCATGAAAAGTGTAGACATCTGAAGTAAAGGACTGCTGGAGTTTCTGAAGAAGCAATAGAGAACTAATCGCAGCTTTTGTCTTGTTTAAGTGCAACTCCCACCAGAGTTATACAGCATCCCTCAGCAAGTGAGACTGTTAACTACGATGTGAAAGCTTTTGGATCCGCCCTGCCTGTTAAGGTGATGGAAGCCCTGAAAAACACTGATGGTAAGACTAGATCTTATCCACTATTTTCCTTCTGAAAGTTGATAAGTAAAAGAAAAGTTAATGTGGTGTTGATGCTATTTAAAAGCTGACTGCAGTGGAAAATGAAATGCTTGTGACTTTATTAGAATCCAGCATGCTTAACTGTAATTGCAGTTATAATAATACAGGCATATGAATGTGTGTAAGTATCACTTAGATACTGACTTGTTTGGATGCTCTTGTTTCCTGAACTGGTTGTTCCTTCTTTTTTTTTTAATCCATGTGCTCTGTGCCATTAAATTAGATACACAGTCAGTTAAATTCAGCTTCAGCTCACGTAATAATGGTAAAACCAGTGGATGAAAATAAACAGAAGCAATGGCTTGATTATCAGTTCTAAAACCCCAATAATAGAAATTGTTTTTTCAGTTCGATAATTCACTTAAGCTTCATTTATCTAACAGAGATAAGAGAAGCCAAGGATGTGAAGCTTTATAATAGCTTTGTAAAATTCTTCAGCTGTTTTAAAGACGATTTTTATCTGCAATGATTGGCCGGCTTCTAGAGTTGTGTTGCTTTTCACTCTCAAAAGTTGAGGATTTGTCAAATGGATTTTTTATACTGTATTTAGTAATTGGTATCTTAAATATGTGGAAGATCTAACATGGAATTTAATTTTGCTGCAAAAGATGCTCTTTGTGTACAAGACTGAAGGTGAGTTGATTTTCAGCTTACTTTGTATTGTTGTATTAACCCTTTGAAAAATTACTTTCTGTGTAGCTGATGACCATCTGAGCGTTCAGGTGGATGAAAGCGGATGGGCCTGGCTAGTCCATAAAGAGAGGCTGATTATTTGGAAGATTGGTCAGTCTCCTGTTGCAAAGGTAAATGAGAGACTAAGATAAAAAATGTGTATGTTTGAGCTAGTTGGACAAGGTACCCAGTTGTGTTGCTTTAAATCGAGGCTTCTTTATAACTTGAAGTTTGCTTCTTCCACCAACAGCAGTATTTGATATGAAATCATGCTAACAGCAGTAATTCAAGTTTCTGGCTGAGTTTAACTGCTTTGTATTTCTCACTTCATTTCTAATTGTCACCTTAACATCAAAGTGAACTTCTACATTTTAATGTTAGCCTTGATAAAGTTTATTCCAGTATTTTGAAATGAGTTGGTATCTTACATGTTGGTTTAGACACTCCTGAGAGTGACTTCGGAATGAATTTCAGCGGTGTTGAATGTATATTTCCTTTAGTTTTTCTTATGTCAAGAAAAACATGTTTTTCTCTGGGAACATTTTTCTAGCAGCAGCACAGTGCGTAGCAAGTATGTTCAGAGGAACCCTGTAGTTACAAAATCTGTATCTTCCAATTAGTGCAACATCTGTTAATTATAGAGATTCTGCTCTTAACGTCAGTGCAGAAATGTCAAGCATTCTGGTACTTAACAGAGTTTTTTTCAGGGATTATTGCTTTTCTGATTGATATGTCACTTTTCTTAAGATAGGAGAATGTTGTCCCTCCTCAAGCTATCATAGAATCATACAATCACAGAATGGTCTGGGTTGCAAAGGACCACAATGATTATCTAGTTTCAACCTCCCTGCTATGTGCAGGGTCATCAACCACTAGACCAGGCTGCCCAGAGCCACAGTTTTCTCAAGTGCTTTCTGTTTTAATTTGTTCTGCCGTCTAGTTAATATCTTATATTAAAATATGTCTAAGTAATGGCACCTCTGAAAAGAAACAAAGCTGCAGAGTTCTGAGAAACATTCAGAAATAACAAAAGGAAAAACTGCTGTGTTTGAAAATACGTGTGTGTGTATGTGTATGTTTTAGCTGTTTGCTTGTTACGATAAACTTGTTGAAAAATCTCTTTTGACTTTCTTTGTTTTTATCTTGTGTTATTTTTTTCCCCTCATGCGGTGTGCAGGCTAGTTTAAAATCAGTTTTTGTCACGGTCAACAGCTGTGGCACAGGAGTAAGCTCTTAGTCTCATCTTTATAATTGCATCTCTTACAGTTATCTCTGTGCAAGGAACTCCAGCTGCCACCCAGTGACTACCAGTGGAGTTCCAGTTTAGCAGCTATATCTTGTCTCAGTTCCTCAGGTGACGCACCTTCTCTCCAGGTGATCCAACTTTTCGAAGTTTGTCTTTAAAAGTACTGTTGGACCAACCTTGAATATGTTCTATTTTATCTGGTGTATTTTGTTTATAATCTGTTTTAAGACTGTGTACTTGTTATAATATATTTTAAAAGTTAGGATCGTTGGTTTATGTTAAATATGCTTGAAATAAAGTCTCTTCACTTTATGCCCCTTACATGTTACGTAATCAGAATACCGTGCAGTTTCTATGAGGATTACTTAGCATGTTTTCACAACTAGTGAAGAAATATTTAGTTAACTACACCTGGGTGTTCAAATACTCAGTCTAAGCAGGTACAACTGAACTGTGTGCTAGCTGAAAAGAGTTCACTTGTCTTTTAATTCTGAGTACACATAGCTGAAAAGCAGAAAACAAGCACCTTCCCCTTCCAGAGTCTTTGTAGCAAAATATACATAGGAAGTCTCTTACATCATGCTTTCAATTTGGTGTCTGGGTGGTTTTCTAAGTCCAAAGCCCTAATAGAGGCACACAGTGGCTTTATGTCTTTTTGAAGAAAAAAATCTTTTCATTTTCTTAATCAATCCAGAGCAGTTTCTTTATTAAATTAGAATCTTCCATTTTAAGTCGTCATCTTGGTATCCAGAATTCCTCACTACATCTTTCGTCTTGCAGCTTGTCATGAAATTTTTGCTTTTCAGTAGCAAACTGAAGTATCAGAAACACAAACCGTACAAGCTATTATTAGCAAAATAAGCAAGTAGAGCATTCCCTGCATGTATTAAGATATGCTGCAGAATCATTTTGCTGTTCAGTGTATGCCTGTGAATATGCATCCATATGTATTCACTACATTTTCATGCGTGAGTCCCTCACAGTCTTGATATCTTGTTATGTAAAATAGGGTGCTGTAGGTAGAGCTGCAGTCTGACTGTTTTTGTCTTGCATGTTATGATGATTATTTTCCCACTTCAAGTCCCTGGCAATAATGGTTGCTACCAGCGAAGGTTCTGTGCGCTACTGGCCCAGTCTTGCCCATGAGGGTTCCTATACTGAGACTTTCACAGACTTTGGAGGCTCTCTGTGCAGTTTCCTGACAGCAGTGAAGGTACAGTGCAATCAATTTACATAAAAATACTGCTTTACCGTGTCCAGTTTTTAAGCATCAAACTGAGGAAAGCGAAATCTTCACCTTGACTTCATTGTTAAAACTACAAGTATGAGAATTTAGAGCTAAGGGAACCGTTTTAAGTCAGTGATCTAAAAGTGCATTATTGGATATCAGTCCACCTGTTGGTGGACGGACTTAATCTGTAGCATAACTTTGGTATGGTATGATCATGAAAATTAGGTAAACTTTGTTTTAGTAGCCTCCAGGCTGTGGCTGGTACTATGGCAATGCCACTGTCTATGCTGGTTAATTTTTACGGGGTTGTTATTTGAAACAAGTTCATGAAATGAAGTGAATGTCTGTCAGTGCTCAGAGCCCATCTTTCAGTTTAGGTTCCTTCAAAGGGTATAATACTAGTACATGTAGAGTACTGTGATGTGATCCAGCATGTAATATATGGAGACTAGCAGAAAATCACTTCAGAAGCACGCTCCTGATGCAAATTTAATGTAGATGCACCATTAGGACACAAAAAATGCACTAGCACAGAAGTTCTTGCCTTAAAATAAGCACCTAGAGTGGAATGTGTGCTTTGCTTTGTGTGCAAGACTTCACATTTTTCTAGTGCAAAGATGATACTAATTTTCAGTACAAGATCCATAGTGCTATGTGGGATTTTAGTACTGTGGTTAGACTGAAATGAGTTTCATGGGTAAAAATGTGATGCTGTCAGAGCTAAGTAAATGACTCTCTTCCAATACTGACTACTAGTTAAATATTTTGCTAAGTGCTAATTTTTAGTATTTCTTTGAAACAAAAACAAAGCAAAACAACAACAAAAAAAAAACCAAAAACATTTAAAACCCCCACCTTTTTCTAATATTGCATATAATATGTTCTGATCTTATATGATGCTAGCATTGTAGTATCTTTTCACAGTTATATGTTTGCTATTGCCCTACTTGGATGTATATAAAAATATATAACATTTTTGTTAATGCTCAAGTAATATGAATGACTAGTGTCTTGTTCAGTCTTTCTCTTCATGAGCTGACAAAGAATTTTATGACTATTTAATTACTTCAGGAATGTGCTTTTAACTTTTTAACATAATTCCTTTTTTTTTTTTTTTTTTTTTTTAAAGGGAGGAAGCTTTATTTTATCATCTTCCAGAGGCCAACTAGTTCGACTGATTCCAGATAGTTCTGGCAAGATTCATCAGCATGCTCTGCCACAGGGTCAGGGCATGTTCTCTGGAATTGGTCGAAAAGTTTCTTCTCTTCTGGGTATATTATCACCTGGAAATGATGATGTGGTAAGCCTGAAAAAATTTAGGTGCTAATCTACTTTAATTTCTGTCTGTGCTTTCTAGTCTCAGTGTTTTGGAGAGGAAAAGCACAAGTTTGCCTGTGAGTGTATGATGTCAAAGAAAAAATAGAAGATTCTTAATGATTTTATGTTATATACATATTTTTTTTTTTAATAAAAAGGCAGGCAGAAATCAAATAAATATGTATGTTGTATATTGGAGAATGATTATTTATTCTTTAGATCTGAAAAAAAAAAAAAAAAAAACCAGCTTTAAAGCACAGTGTCTCCTGGGGAATTTGCAAAGCCTTTAAGTCTCACCTCCTGTTCCAGTTTCCCAAGGAAGTGATTTTTGTGTGGACTGAGTAATATAGATCATTGTATCTGAGATTTCTCTATTTTAAATGCAGATTTCTAGTGTTCTTTGGGATAAAGAGAGATCAAGCTTTTATATGCTAACAAATTCAAATTTAAACAAGTGGGAGATTGACGGTTCATCAGAACGTTATATTCTCAGCTGGGATGTCAACAGAGTCCTGAAGGAACACATTTCAGATGCAATTTGGGTAAGAACAAACTCACTGGGAAGTTTTGTTTTGTTTCCTTAATAAGCAGCCTATCTGTGTATGGTTTTAAGTCAGATACATTGTAGTTTCTTTCTGTTTTGTTTGGGTTTTTTTAGGGTTCTGAAAGTAACTATGAAGATATTAAAGGAGGAGTAAATATACAGTATATGGATTTACAGCAGAATCGGTAAGGAAGTTCACTTGCATCTGGTAAAGTAAATCTACTAGTTGCATTCTGCTTTCTTATCAAAATCTTTTTCTAATAAACTAAAATTTAATTGTACTTCAGTGTCACTGTTAATAAAATAAGCACATCAGCTAACTAGATAATCATAGCATGAAACACGAAAGCAGCTTTCTAGTAATATGACTTTTACTTAAGGATAACTTCTTTCATTTTTTAATGTCATTCTTATTAGGTTTTTATAGTACAAAGACGTTGAATAGCAAGTATAACTTTTATTCCAGCAAATTTAGAAAGTTTTTTGTATCTCTTGTATCTGATTTAATTACATAAAATTTCCCCAACTGGATTGGTTCAGTTTTGCACTGTAGTGTGCATACTTTTAATAAAACAGAATGAAGGAACAAAGAGCTTTTTTTTTTTTTAAAGAAGTAGTAATTTACTTTTAAAATATTGTACTACTATGCAATAGGGAAAGCATTTATTTGTAATTGGACTTAAATATCTTTTTTCCAAGGATAGAGTTCAAGCAAGTGAAATATTTAATATTCAACTCTACTGACGTGCTGATCTCTGTTGTTGAATAGTGATGGACTGGTGATACTTGCTGCAGCGTGGCATCCTGGAGATAACCCATGTCTTGTCTACTATACTCTGATAACAGTAGAAGATAAAGGCTTGCAGATGTCTGATGATGTTGTCGTGGAGGTCACACAGTATAATCCATCTTTTCAGGTATGCAAATGTAAGCTCTAAACTGAGTAGGGAGTGGAAGTAAAAACAAAAAAAAACCCAACAGTCACAAAAGTTGGAAGGCACCTCTGGAGATCATTGAGTTGAACTCCCTTGCTAAAGCAGGTTCCTTACAGCAGGTTGCACAGGTTGGCATCCAAATGTGTCTTGAATATCTCCAGAGAAGGAGATTCTGTAACCTGTCTGGACAGCCTGTTCTGGTGCTCTGTCACTCTGACAGTAAAGAAGTTCTTCCTTATTTTAGTGTGTTCCTCTGCCCATAGCCCCATGTTCTATTGTTGCTGACCATTGAAGAGAGTCCACTGTCATCAACGTGACTCCCATATTTAAGACGAATCAGCACTGAGATCATCTCTCAGCTTTTCCTCATAAGGAGGTACTTCAAGCCCCTAATCATATGTTTTGCTCTCCCCTGGTCTCGTTCTAGGAGATGCTTGTCTGAAATGGGGAGCCCAGAACTGGATGCAGTATTCCAGATGTGGTCTCACCAGGGCAGAGCGGAGAGTCTGTACCTCCCTCAGCCTGCTGGCCATGCTCTTTGTAGTGCACCCCAGATACCTTTTGACCTTCTCAGCCACAAGAGCTCGCTGCCGGCTCGTGGCCAACCTGTTGTCAGCGAGGACACCCAGGAGCTTCTCTGTAGAGATCATTTCCAGCAGGTCGTCTCCCAACCTGTCCTGCTGAATGCAGTTGCATATTCCTCCCCAGGTGCAAGACTCTACACTTGCCCTTGAATGTCATCAGGTTCCTCTCTGCCCAACTCTTTAGACTGTCCAGGTCCCACTGAATGGCAGCACAGCCTTCTGATGTGACAGTCACTCCTCCCAGCTTTGTATCGTTAGCAAACTTGCTGAGAGTAGACTCTATCCATTCATCCAGTTCATTGTTGAAGATGTTGAATAAAACTGGCCTCAGTGTCAATCCCTGGGGAACGCTGCTACTTAATGGCCTAAAATCTTAAACTTCAGGGCAAATGTAAAGCATCCTTTCAGGTCTGAGGTTTTTTTGTTGCTTTATCCCTGTCTTGTTTAAAAAAAGAGAAAATAAATGTAATGCAACTCTAAATCAGTCTTAAAAATGTTAGATGTTTGTTTGTTTAAGGTTCTGATTATGATACTGTTCATATGTAACACTTTCAGTCTGAAGAGGAAGTAATGTGCTGTCTGGTGATCCCAGATTACTTCAGCCACGCTGCTTACCTTTATAAGGAAGATGAGGTGTTTGCTTGTTCCACTGGAACTGGAAGAATTTCATTACCACAGGAGAAAATTTTATTTGGCTTTCAAGGTAGCATGCAGGGAAAAATGTAATGTTTTTGTTGATGTTTTTTAATTGAATGTGTTTATGCCATTATATTTCATAGAGAGTAGAATCATATTTACGTGCCTTTTTATGTCTTTCAAACTGAAGGTTTTTTTGTAGGTGTATGGAGAAAACACCAAAATGACAGCTGATACCATTATTGATTATTCTGCAGTATTTTAGTTGAAGTAAATCTATGATCCTGAAACTGAATCATAGAATCACAGAATGGCCTGGGTTGAAAAGGACCGCAGTGATCATCTGGTTTCAACCCCCTGCTATGTGCAAGGTCATCAACCACTAGACCAAGCTACCCAGAGCCACATGCAGCCTGGCCTTGAATGGCCTGGAAATCTTTATTTTGTTTTGGCCTCCTTTTTTTTTCCCCCTCCCTCCAATGTTTAATTTTTCTTGAAATTAGCTTTGTTTTGAAAGTCAGCCTAATGTTCATCATAGGTCTTTGTACCAGGTGTCCTAGTACATCGTCCTTGATATCCAGAGGTGTTTTTCAGTCTGAAGCAGAGATTAGGTAGAGTTTGAGCTACCAGAATCTTGATGGTTTTTTTGGGGTTGGTTTTTTGTTTTGTTTTCACTCAACAGTACACCCAAATGTACATCATTGGTAGCAAACAGTATTCATTGTTTTTGTAAGTCAGGTGCAGTTGTAGGAATTTCTATTTGTTCCTTACAAAATTTTATCTATGTTTATGAAACTGTGTCATATTTTCTTCTTAGTGTTGCATTTGACATGCCTTTATTCTTTTGTTGCCATCCTAGGAGATAGCATTTTAGGAGCAGGTTCCTATACTAGCCTCCCCATCTTCTTTGCCAAAAGAAGTGGACTTATTACCATCTTATCCAGAGAAAACATTTCTGTGCTCCCTGAAGACCTTGAAGATTCTCTGTCCTCTTCTGTTGCTGGACCAATAAGTGAGGTAATGGTTGAAAAGTGAGAATAGATTTGTCAGTTTGGGTAAGGCGTTTCTTCTCCCTTCCCCTTGATCTGAAGTAGAAATCTCTAAGAAATGTGTAGTTTTTCTCACAGGTATATTACTAGGTGTCACTAGGCCTGATAGAATGCTGAGTTCAAACTGTAGAGATTGGAGATTTTGCTCTTGCTTTTATGTCAGGATGGTCCCTAAAGCCTTCTCCTTTATGTGTGTAATGGACAGAATTTTCTTACTGCATTCTGAAAATCTTGGAGTCTGAATTGATAGGTGCTGAATATTGTTTCTACTCTTTTATGTATTTTTGTTTGAATACAACCCTACCAAAATGTGATAACATTTTTATTGTCATTTTGGGCACTGTGCATTTAGTAAGCTCTTAAATACTTCAAACATGTTGTCTTTAAAACGTGTAGAATTTGTTGTCAAGATGTCCCTGGAGTAGGTGGGAAGAATGGAAAACCTTGCTAAAATAGGAAATAGAAGTGATGTTGATGGGCTAATAGTGAGTTTCAATTTTTATTCCAGTTAAATCACCTTTTTAATGTGTTATTATAAACTGGTATTTTGGTCGAACCTTTGTGGTGGTTGCTCAAATGGAACTATATTTGTCTTACGGAGTTAATCTCTATCTAGATTTGTCTGCACTTTTGTGAGCAATAGAACTTATTGTTACCTTGTTAAATTCTGTCAGAAATGCTAGTTTTGAATGCCTAAAACATATGTGTACATGTATTACATATACACACACACAGAGCTACTTTATTGTAGGGTATCTTTTGGGCTTAAAAAGCACAACTGCTTCCAAGTGGCACTTTCATTTTGAATCTATATTGTTATGAAGAAAAACAGTTCTAATTTCATAACGAAGCTTGCTATTTGTCTTACCTGAAATACTTTCTTTGTGTAATTAAGAGTCCTGCATTTGATCCAGCCAGTAGGCTAGAAATCGTAGCTCAAGAGGATAAGACAAAGTTACTGAAAGCTGCTTTTCTACAATACTGCAGGTAAAAATTGCGCTCTATATTTGAGACTTTGTTTGCTGTTCTTGAAGACACGTTGGTACTTGAGTAGGAAATTGTCTTGGTAAAGGTTTACTGTTGTGCTTCTTAATTAATGGTTTTAGTGACACATGCTCTTAGAATAGCACAGGTGCATCTTCTTCATTAGCTGAAGATGCATGCTAAGAAGGAGCAGACCTTATATGTGAAATATATTGTTTACTATGTGTAAACACTGCATACTCTTAGTGTCAGTGAGAACATTCTCAGCTTTGCTCATTTATTTTCTCTATTCATTCAGTGTGACACTTTGTTGTTAAAAGTAAATAGGTTTTCCTATTAATTCTCACCTTTATTTGCTTATCAGTTTTCAGTAACACTTTGGAACATGTAGAATTGATCTAGTGGTTGGTGTCCCTGCATTTAGCAGAGGGGTTGAAACTAGGTAGTCATTACGGTCCTTTTCAACCCAGGCCATTCTATCATGCTATGGCATCTTTTTTTAGATTGACAGATACAAGTGAGAAAAAAGTGACATTTGGGGGTTAAAAGTAGAAATAAATATTGTTCTTCAAACTATCTTAAGGAAAGCAACCTTACTGTTGCAACACTTGGAATGTCTCTGAAGGGTTTGCTGTTCAGATAGAGGGCTGATACATGAAGGAGGAAGAGGACAGATGAGAAGATATATGGAGATGCAGGCTTGGATTAATTCTATATATATATTCAATATATATTCATTACTACAAAGCAAATGAACTGAAAGACTCTTAAGACTAATTTCTGTAAAGAATCTTAAGATTGGGAAAGAAGCAATTTAAGGAGAAGATTAGATAAGGGATTCATTGCATAGAATAAAGAATATCAGAATAAGATGTAAACTTGCACAGAACTTAGGAAAACTCAATAATTTTCTGAGAATGTGAACAAGGGACTAGAAACAGGATTAGACTAGTAGGGAGAACCAAATGAAACAGCATGAAAGTCTAATGTTATATAGTTATGTATATGTGGGTTATATATAGTATAACCCGAAAGAGTTATGTTTACAGAACTAGAAGAAATTAATAGCTTGGTTTGCACTAGAAAAAAATGGCATAAAAACTGAGAAATCTTTGACAGAACAGCTGTAGTAGTGACCTGCCCAGATGATAAAGCAGTTGATGTAGAGAAAAGTTGTGCAGCTCATGGAAATGTCCAAATCCACAAGCTGTGCATTGACCACAGTTGACCTTACAGATCTATGGTTATTGTATGAATGTTCTGTGGAAACATGGAGTTGATTCTTGCACTGTACTGGCTGATGACAGTTTGTGGTTTGGTGGAGGCAATGAAGCAGCGCATAAATCCCTTAGAAATCTGTGTCCTGTGGAAAGGTGAAGATAGAACTTCCTGTAATACATTCGTTTTTAAAAGTATGTTTTACTTTAGTAAACTTCTGTTAAATTTCTAGATACGATTCTGATTTTATTTCAAGACATTTGGCTTAGACAGGCATTCATACAAAGTCTGATTAACACTAAAAGTATAAATATTTTCCAGTTAATAATTTGGAATCACGGTAATCCTTTTAATCACAAAATCAAATTGATGCTTTTTGTGTATATTGAATGTTTCTTACACACAGTGCTTCAGTACATCGTACCTTGAAAGCTGAAAGAACGTTTAGATGCTTCTTCCTTGTTCTTAATTTACTGACCTGAATACAAAGAGTTTCTAAAATGTATAGAAAATCTGAATAATGCATTGTAGCATTTGTCAGATTTTTGAGAGCTTTTACTGTATTGTCAGTCATGGGACTGATATCTTGTACTCTTGCAAGGATTTCACAGCAAGCAGTTATCTTTGGAGACTTAATTATCAATGACAATCAATAAACAGAGCAAAGGCTGAACCTTTTTCTCTTAATAAGAATAGGGACAATAAAAAGTAACTTCAAACACTTGCTGATTATGCTTTTTACTTTTAAAGACTGTGCAATCTACTTACTTTAAAAGAATCAGAATACCTTTTATTCCTGATTAAAGATAGCCCAAACAGTGTTCAATATTTATAGTCTAATATACAAAAAGTGTATCTCAAAAGGTGCTACAATTGAGTTGTTCTTGTTCCTATAATCCTATCGTATTTTTTTTATTTCATATATATTGCATTTCTTTTATTTCAGGAAAGATGTAGTTAATGCTCAGAGCATGGTAGTTGAACTATTTCCAAGTAACACAGATGTGGATTCTGATGCTGAACTGGATAGGGCAGTGACTCAGATCAGTGTGGATTTAATGGATGATTATCCTGCCTCTGATCCAAGATGGGCTGAATCCGTACCTGAAGGTAAGCAAATTTTTTGTTTGATCTGTGAAAAACTGCTTATGGCACTCCAGGAAAAGTCATAATTTAATTTGCAAGGAAAGCATAAATGTTTCATCCACCTCTAGATGTATTTTCAGAAAAGCATAAAGGTGCACCTTTTGAGACTGCCAGATTAATTTCCAGTCTACTGTGGTTAGTTCTTCATATAGTAACAGAAACAGCAAAGAAAATGGGTGTTTTTGGGAATGGGACTTTTTGCAAAGAGTGAGTGGTACCACTTTAGTGTTTCCGTAATTCTTTGAGTAGATCGAAATTATTTTCTGCAGCTAAATGTGTTAAGAAAAATAAGAGTTTGTTTCCTCATGCTTGACTGTTTGTTAGCATGGCTGTACAACTTCTGATTGGTTTGGATCCTGGGTTGGGTAGAGTTAGCTCATCTCTCTGGCGCATTGGTATTAATGCCTGCTTTAGGAAGAAAGCTATTTTGAATGTTTTTGCTATATGTAAAGGCTTAAAATAGACACCTTTATAGAAAGAAATATCCTTGTTCATGATTTTCTTTTCTAGAGCAGTGTTAACTTAAAGCTGTCCCCAGTACCTTGAGGCAGCAGTTGCCGGTTTCTGAACAGTCTCACTTGAAAGTGTGTGTACTAAGTACATACAGATGTATGAAATTGTCAGGCATCAAATCCCTACTGTTTTCTGAATCTTAATTTCATCTTTAACTTGGCAATTTATCTGCACTTCTTATTGCCTAAGAGAAGTAGTTCACTGTTTCTTGGAAATAGTCTAGCTAATTTTGCTGATAGTAATAGTTCTTTCGAGTTCTGTGTCTTAGTAGTTTTTTGGCTTAAAGCATAAATAGAAAGTATTCAAATACAAAAAAGATTTTGTCTTTGGAGAATCTGCTGAGGTGAGATACCTGTAGGGGTGTTCATGAGGAAGCTTCCATCATCCTTACTGACTCCCTGAACAACCTCATTGTTTGGTGGATGCATTAACATGCTTTTCAGTTGGAGGTTCATTTGAGAAGGAGGAAAAGTGCTGAGTTAGGCCACTCACAACCACATGCTTATGACGTGTAGTTGAACTGTTCAGGCAGTGCAGTGGCAAAACGCACGTCTGGGTGCCTGTAACTGTGGACTTGATTTTGTGGTAGCTGTGGTCTAGGACATATCAATTCAGCCATGTAAATTCAACTAATCTACTATGATGATAAATACTAATCTTATTAATCTTATTCTTATTAAAACTTGAATAAGCTCGTAAGCAATTGTTTTAGCAGCATAACAAATTCATGAGTGCTTTGGAATAGTGCTGATCTGACATACTTTATTGCTTCTAAAGGCTTTATTTTCTACTATGGTAGAGTTCAAAAGCCCCATTAAGAACAGCAGTATATAAATGTGCATGCATATATTTAAAGAGAAGTACTGGTGTAGTAGCAGTACAGAAACTTACAGAAATACATCTGCCGCAGAGGTAAAGAAAAATAGTGATCTTTGACATGAAGATACAAAGTGTTGTAAAGTTTTGTTGTTGTTGTTTTAACCTAGAAGCCAGTGGTTTTAGCAACACATCCCTCATTCTTCTTCATCAGCTGGAGGATAAGACAAAAGCTCATTCCTTCTTCATTGAGTTTCTTCACCAGGTAATATTTTACTGTTCTACTTACTTATATCAACAAACACAGAGAATTGTTTTTGATTTAAGGTAAAATGATTTAAAGCATGGACGGTGTGTTTGTTTTATAAAAGGTTGGCATATTTGAACGACTGGGCAGTTTTCCAGTGCGGGGGATGCCGATGGCAACTCGACTATTGCTCTGTGAGCATGCAGAAAAACTAGCAGCTGCTATTGTTCTCAAGAACTATCACTCCAGGCTGCCTGATCTAGTGAATGCTGCTATACTGATTGCTTTAAACAAAAGGGACTGTGACATTCCACCAAGTCTTACTCCTGCAGATATTTTCTTTCGAGAGGTAAGAACAGCAGAATGCATAGAATTCTTTTATTTCTAAATGGTATTGCATGTAGAGGATGCTGGAATGCATTAATGTATACTTTGACGTATTTCCTTTCAAAAATTAATTCTACACAGTTTCCCTTTAAATAGTAATGGATTAGTAGTGTGTTTTCCTCACTTTACTGCAGGTACTTTTTATGTCTGTACAAGTGAACACGAGTACTTACAGATTTTGTGTTGAGAAATCAAATTTGTTATGATTTCCAACTAGCCTGTGTGGACAGATCGTGAAAAAGATGAATGCAGTTTTACAGCATACCAGAAAATATGAGCTAACTTATCTTTTTTATGGGGTGAACTGACGGATATGAAGCTTTGCAAATAGGAGTGAAAGCTGGAATTACTTTTATCAGATATGTTTTTCATGATTTTTTGTCCTCTCTAAGGCAAATGTGTTCAATCTCATTCTCAGTTTATGCTGCATTTGATTCATGTAGCCAGTGCTTTAATTCTTCCTCCTTAAAAATGATTGAAAGAATTACACAGAGCACTGGAGGGTTTTTAAAAATATATAACTGTATATTTTTCCCCAGTAGAGGGCATTAGTTGCTAATGGAGGAAAACAAATATAATAGAAAATTAGACTAATTTTGATAGCATTTTTTTCTGTCTGGTTTAAGGCTGGCAGTGAGGCAATTTATCTATCCTAGCTATTTTTTCAAATGTAAATTAGTGATTTCATTGTCCATGGGAGTAGTTAATATTTTTGGATATTGATCTGGTTTCTACTAATGCTTTTTCCATGCCACTCCTGTCATTTGGCTTGTAGGTATGAGCTTGGGATGCATGTGTTGGTGTTCACTGCAATTTTTCTTTATATTTTAAGGTGTCCCAGATCGATTCCATCTTTGGATGCTTACTAGAAGAGGAGGAACAAGTCTTGAGGGAGATGCATATTGAATCAATTGAGTGGGCCCAAGTAGTTGTCAGTGTGAACAACATCATTAAGGTATAGAACTGCACCAACTGGAATGTTCATGGGAAGGGCAAATATTAATGAGTGCTCAGTTTGTCGTGTACATCAGTACGTCTGAGCTTCTGGTGTGTGAAGTAAATACATTTTTCATATGCCTAAATATATTAGAACAGAAGAGATTGTCTCCTGCAAAATTAGGGATGTTCCTATTCTCCTTAGCCACTGCTAGAAAGAGTTTGAGAAGCTGCAGCATTGAAAAAAGTACCTGTATTTGTAGCAAAGAGTGAAGAGTTTGTGTTGAGAACTGAGACTTCTTGCTCAGACAGTGTGTTCCCTTCTCTATAACTGAGAAGGAAGGCACTATTAAAATAACATTTCAAAATTATAAAAGACAGTATTTTTTATAGTGTGTGTTACACAGGTAGATTTTAAAACATGTATTTGCTTACCTTTAAACAGGATATGCTACAAGCTGCCTGTCAGTATCGTCAATCTAGAGCATCCTTATATAAAACAGGAGAGCTTCCAGAGAGAGAACCTGAATATATTCCATGGACAGGTGAGAAATTACTAATACCAGTTCAGTAATTATTCGAAACAAAAAGGACTTCTCTTGTGTTCTGGAAAACATGAATTCCAATCTGAATGTTAAACTTATTGTTGAAAGCTTCTCAAAGATGGTCAGCAAGAGTGGGAGAAGTGAGAGGTTTTGATCAGTGAGTGAAGAAATGAACACCTATTCTTTCCAGGATTTTTGGTGACTCTTTAAAACTTGCATTGCAGATTCAACTGCAAAGTTAAGGAGACAAAGTTTATATATATATATATATAATTTTTTCTTTTTTTACTGCTGTGTGCTGGTTCTAGTTGATGGAGCTATGGGATATACAATGTTCAAGTAATTCCTGTGATCTAGAGCTGTTTCAGAGGGGACCAGTGGTTCTCCATGTGCTTGAATGTGTCTTGTCAGAAGAAATGCTTCCAGAAGTAAGCACTTCTGGGTTGGTGTTTAGGTTTTTTTCTGGTCTTTACATATAAAACACTTGTTTAGCACTCCTAAGATCAAAATATTTTGAAAAGCATGATATGTATAAACTGTTCTGGTGTTTTATGATTACACTCATAGATTTAAGGTGGGTTAGCAGAAGCTTTTTAATTTTTTTTGCATATTCTCTTCTTTCCTCAGAGATCATGCTAGCTCTTCTCAGAGTAGCTGATCTTGATAGCTGACAGCATAGAGTTGTGTGGTTGTAGGAGCTGTGTTTTTGCTTCTTGGTTGTTTACTCCATTTTGGCCACATTTATATTTAAAGGAAGATGGGAGTGTGTAGTTGGTGTGATTTTTCTAACAGGTACCTAAGGTACTTAAGGTGTTTACTAGCCCTTTTATCCTTTTCTCTTTTTTTTTGTTTAATTTTACTTGGCAGTACTTTTGTTGTACTTCAGCTTGGATTCCTTTGCAGGTGAGTGGTTTTAACATCTACTGTGTTGTTTTTCCAAGCATCCAGCAGCCTACGTGCAGCAATAACACGTCAGCATGGAATCATTCTGAAGGTGGTGTATCCTCAGGTGGACAGCAGCCTCCGTAGTATTGTGGCTGAACAGGTGGTGGCACTGCTCGACTGCTTTCTGGATGGATACGTTTCTCAGCTGAAGTCTGTGGACAGACCTGGTGATCAAGAGAGATACAGCAATCTGGAAATGGAATATGTGCAGAAGAGATCAGAGCTCTTGTCTCCTCTCCGTAAGTACTGATTGTTTTCCTTTAATGCAACATTTAAATGTTCTGTTCAGTGAGAAAGTGATGCAAACGTAGTAGAATAAATGGCATTCGTGTATGAATTCTTTGTGTTGTATTTCTGTATATTAATTACTGGTTTTATGATTTAATGGGATATTTGTAAAATGAGAACAGCTTAGTGTTCTTTCTAAGATTGCCTCCATATAATAAGTTTGTTTAGCATTTATCAGAGGAAAAGTTGAATCTTGATTAGTCAAACTTGTTGTGACTGTATCTGATACATTAAATGTCTTCAATGAATAATTGACAGCAGTGCCCCCTTGCTGAGTGGCAATAACCTTAAGCAAAATCACTTTTTTGAATTTATGAACTTTTTTTTTTTTAGATCTATAATAAGTGATACAGTATGAATAGAATAACCTAACAATCACTGGCTTTTAACATTCTTAAGCTTCAGGAAAAGTCTCTTAAACTGTCAATCTTGGTTTTACTGACATTCATGGGCTCTGTTAGCTTACAGGTACAACTCATATCATCGTGTTTAATCTGAAGTGTGGTTTTCCTTGCAAATAAAAGCATTCTGTGAACTTACACATTTAATAAAACTCAAAAGAGTTTAAACAACATATTTTGAATACGGATGCCACGATCCAGTTGTTCTGTTATCAGAAGCTTTTGCTGTCTATTTTCTCACTTCATGTAATTGGATGGATACTAATAAAAATATTAAATCATGGATGATTTCCATCCTTCCCCTAAAGAACTGCAAATAGCAGATACGAACTTTCAGATAAAATAGTGTGTACAGGACAGTTTATACAACTTCCCTTCTTCCCTCTAGTGCTGGGGGACAGAGGTGGTATGTACTCAGACTTGTACGTGCATAAGGTGTATGGAGTATCTCCTTGACTTGAACACCTGACATTTGTTTTCATTTCACTCAGACTTCTGATGTAACTTTTCTCTTCCTTGTTACTTAGTTTCCCTGGGACAGTATCAGATGGCAGCTCTTTTAGCAGAGAAGTATTGTGACTTTGATATCCTGGTGCAAATGTGTGAGCAGACAGACAACCAGGCCAGACTGCAACGTTACATGAGTCAGTTTGCAGATCAGGTATCTCTGTTCTCCTTTTTTCTTTACCTCAACCTCATTTAAATAATGCTTTATAATAACTTTGCACCTGAAGTCTTGCAATTTTTTTTTTAACCTATATGTATTTATGTATATGCATATATATATTTACACAAACACAGAGAATGTTATGTGGAGAACCGGAGCCAAGATTTACCTTGCAAGACTTAATGAAACAATTTTCCCAGAGCTTGCAAAGAAAACATCAACAGAAATGTGTTCTCTTTAGTTAGTTGTCTTAAATACTGATTTTGGTGGTGTGGAATTTTTTTGTTTATTCATGTTTTGTTTTGAAAGTAATGCTTTCTGAAAAGAACTTATCATGGTGAACATTGAAGGGAATAGATCAAGTCTAACGTGTAGAACATCAGATTAATGGTTTATTTAAACTTTTTGAAATTGTTAATGCACTTGAAACAGCATTAGAATGTTGAATCTTGAAACAGCACTCAAGGTTACTCTCAAAAAACTAAGTTAAATCTAAACTTAAATCCTGATCAGTTATTTAATGCTAAAGTTTATGAGGATAAAATAGGTTGGGGGAGTTTGTTTTAAAAATAAGGCTTTGTCAGTGACAAGGGGGAAAGGTTGCAGGTTCAGGTGGAGGTAGGAGGGTATGTTTCAAGAACAGTGGCAAAAATAAGTGTCCAAGTCTGAAAGGAAGCAGCAGCACAGAGTTTTGAGTGTAGGAAAGGGGCAGTTGCAGAAATAAGGCTGGAACTATGGGTGAGGTGATGACCGTTTTCATTCTTGAGGGTTAACAAGGAATTTGCATTTGACTTTTCCTTCTCTTCCATCGAACAATGAATCCTGAGGTATCAGTACTTGATGAACTCTTTTTAAGACTCTAACAGGACTCAGCTCTTGTTTTCATCAACCATATAATTTTTTTCCAGAGTTTTGTTGATCAAGTTAACCCATGTTTTTCCAGCGGTAGTTTATGAAGTATTTAGCCAAATAAAATGCTTAAAGGCAACTTTTAATATGTGTTTGTTTTCCTATTCAGAATTTTTCAGATTTCCTGTTTCGCTGGTACTTAGAAAAAGGAAAGCGAGGGAAGCTGTTATCTCAGCCTATTGCTCAGCATGGACAGCTGGCCAGTTTCTTGCAAGCACATGAGCACCTGAGCTGGTTACACGAAATCAATAGTCAGGATTTGCAGAAGGTAGGCTTTCTTAATACAAACAAACTCAAGTATCATGTTTTAAAACATTTAATCACTGGGCCAGAAGTTCATGATCAAAAGAACGATGCCTAACTATGTGAATGAGGGGATAAAGGCACGGATCATTAATGAAGTACCAGAAGAACCCCTCCAGGCACCATCTGGTGTATTACATGAGCTACTGCATCGTGGAATGGAAATCAGAGCTGCTTTTCACTCCTTGTTGATGACAAAATATTAGACATAGGTATGATCACCAATCTGGTCATAGTGAGAGTTCACGGTGGATATCAGTGAAATTCTTAAGATAATCCATCAAGAGAAAAACTGCAATTTATATTTCAAAACTAATTAATTGAAAACAGAAATTCTGAGGTATCACAAATTAAAAAAAAAAAAAAAAAAAAAAGGAAAAAAACAAGTATAAAATACTTCAATCATGTATATTCGTAATTTGAAAGCAGTTTATTTTTAAAGTAGTTGATCTCCATGTGGATAGATTAATGTTTAAAAATAAAACTTGATTCTTTGTTGCCTTCTAGGCTGCCCAGTTTTTTCCTACTTCTGGCAACACTTTGTGTGCCCGTTTATTAATACAAAATGGATGGAAACCTTTCTGATACCATGAATTATAGGTTGAGAATATCATACAACCCTTTAAAAAAAAAAAAAGGAGGGGAGCTGGGGGAGGGTGAGAATATGAGAGTTTTGTATGGATGAAGATGATACACATGATGATGACTGTGTTGGGAATCTAATATTCCACGACGACTTTGTTGTTTATAGCAAAGCACTGTGAAGAGGGAAGCAAGGATTCTAGAACAGAAGTAATTCAGGCTGTTCTCAGAAATGTTCTGTTCCTTTGAGACATACAAGTAAATTCTTGCCTGTTTGATTACTACAGTGGTTAGAAAAGAGTTACACTTGCACCAAATTCCTGAATTAACAAGTAAATAATCTGCATGCAGAATGTTCCTTCAGAGCAGAACATTACCTGGTTTTTATGGAGAAGCCTTGAATAGAGTCCCAGAGATATAATATGTAAAGTTGCAGCTTGTCCTTTAATTTTAAGATAGTTATTCTACATTATTAAAGGAAAGTATTCTGGGAATGTAATAGGAATAGAGATCTATGTCTTCCTATACTGTGTAATGCAGGATTTTAATTTGCAGCTTGTAAGTCTTAAGAAGTACACATGACAGTATAACAAATGTTGAATAGCTGTGAGACTGTAGTTCAGATTAAGTCTTGCTGATCTGTTAGCCTTCTGATGTTAACTTCTAAAACTGATATACAGCTTGATTATTTATTTTAGGCTCACAGAACACTGCAAACTTTAGCAAACATGGAGACCAAATATTTTGCAAAGAAGAAAACCCTTCTTGGCTTGAGTAAATTAGCTGCACTGGCATCTGATTTCTCAGAAGACATACTGCAGGAAAAGATAGAAGGTAAGAAACAAATACGGACTAATGTGAAGAATAGATTAACAAAGTTATTGAATTAGAATCACATTGTATTTGTGAATAGTTTGTTTTCTTAGATGAAGGCTTTAGCTTGTATGTGGTAAGGATAAATGGTCTGGTGACTTTGTTCATTTTGCTAAGAACAAGGAAGAGAGCATGAGGCAGTAATTTCAGTATTCAGCTTTACCTGCGAGTTACCAAGTAGAAGAGTTCCCCTGCTCTGCCTTTGTCATCACACTTAAATACTCGTTTCCTGCTGTTGTTTTTACAGCATATGCTTCTTTGAGTTTGTGAAAAAGCATTTTCTACACTGATCGTTAAACTATTACTGGCCACCAGGGGGAGGCTCTGAAATTGTGAAGGTTTCACAAGCTTACTTGTATTTAACTGTGTATCTATCCATGTATCTTACATAGAGTACTTGAATGAGAACTTGCTGAAAAAGTCTTAGAATAACAGATAGCTAAGTAGGTGTCACAAATTATTTTCAGGATATAATAACAACTTGTCCCGTTTTTTTTAATTATGTAATTATAAAACATTGCACATAACTTGTGTGAATGCAATTTCAAAATGTATGCTAATACTGATGTGAAGAATCTCATCATTAAAGAGGAAAACCTTAAAAATAAGGAAAGCAAAACTTTATTTTGAGAGTATCTGATTATCAGAATTTGGTGTGGGCTCTCCTGGGTTATCCATTTCTGTATGACAGAGAATGTAGATTTTAAAACGTCTACTGCTTGTGTATAGATTTCAACTTTATAAGGAAGGAGTAATTATTTCTGCCATATTCTGCTCATCCACTTAAAGAGATAAAATACTCCTTCAGAATTATTTTCTCATTTCTACAGTGCAGTGGAACAGCGGGGAAGGAATTTGCTTGGTGTGGGTGGAGTTACTCTATTTTGATTCTGCCTCAGCCCAGTATGTTTCTAACTCTGAAACAGGTTATACTGGAAGACAAAACAGTTCTCAAAGGAGTAGGTTCGTGGCACAGGTGGCTCCAAGAAATGGCAGCTAGCTTGCTTTCCTACCTAGTGCCATAGCATCTCTCCATTCCTATGGATTAGTTCTGTTGGTTTTAGGAAAAAAGAAAGTTATGGTCTGCTTTACACTGGGAACATGAGGGAAAAGTAACAGCTAGCTTGCCAGGATGATGGTACTGCACTAGAAGTATTTCCGTGCTTAAATAACTCAGATTAGTCCATATAAAATATTTTATAACAAACATGCTGTGCTGTAAAATGTATTACATTTTAATAATATGAAACATTTATTTCCTTCAATGACTATTAGAAATAGCAGAACAGGAACGCTTTCTTCTACATCAGGAGACACTTCCTGAGCAGTTACTGGTAGACAAACAACTGAACCTCAATGATATGCCAGTGCTGTCTGCAACTCAGCTCATTGATGTAAGTATTTCATGTTTTCTTCATTATACTATTAAACGTTCCAGTGTATATTCTACTTCTGGTGTTATAAAATAAATGAGATCACAGATATTTTTGTCTCTTTTATGACTTGCTAACCACCTAAAGATCTGGCATAAATTGATCTAAATTTGCTTCCACCAACAACAAATACAAAATACTTCATTTTTTTAGTACAGGATTTCTTGGTTGAATATATGTTTGTGGGTGCTGCAAGGAGAAGAAGCAAATATAATCAGTGCCAGAAGCTGTTGTCTCATTTTCAAATGCTGGTACAATTTTTACCTTCTGTCACATCCTTGGTAGGGCAGAACTTGGAAAACAGAAGGAACAAAGAATTCCAATTCAATGAAGAAAGATGCTACAATCTAGAAAAAGAGAGGGCAGGAAGGGCCTTTTGGTCACTTGTTGCAATGAGCACTTCCTGTCTTTCTATCTTTAAAACCAAACAACACCAACAAAAAAATGTTCACTCTAGTCCTGGGATGGCTACAGCTGATTGCTCTTCCATGCTCATTGCTGGTGGTAGCCTGGAACCAATAACCTTGCTGTTTCTGCCCCATTGGCAGCATATTTTTATCATCCAGTGATGCACACAAAACACATGTGATTAAGTAGCAACAATATGTTGTAAAACAAAATATGCCTTGTCTGGGTTTCAGTTTAACAGCTCATTACTTTTCTGTAATCCTGTGGAAAATCAGAAACTAGTAGTGCAGCTGTTAAACTTCTCCCATTTGGTGTTTGTTTGTTTGTTTCAGAACAATGCTAGTTTTGGAGTTGTTACCTCTGTCTTTAATTGAGACTTTCTGTGGGACTGGGGAAGAATGGGAAGTGTCACAATTGACAAGTGCTGGTGCCATGCCAGTTTTCCTTCTGAATTCTCTCTGTTGTCTAACCGCTGTTCTTTCATTCTCACATTGCAAGTAAGAAGAAACTTGGAAAGTGTAAACAAAAGTTGCATTAATGTTAGTTTTGCTTTCAAGTACTTGTTTAGATCTTTACTTATAAGGAAAAAAAATGAAATGCAAATGGCAAAATTACCTGTTTTTAGAAGATGGAAGGGCTGTACATGTGCTTATGTACTGCTTTACGCTTTAATTGTTAAAATAATCCTGTGAGTTCACTTTATTTGTGGAGCTGAGCTCTAGCTGCAGTAGTCCAGGAATGTTACTGCCTTAAATGGCATTTAAATTTGAAACCTAGCAGCTTTCTATCCAATGTCATTTGTCCACAGACCATTGTCATGTAGGTGGAATGCCACCCTAAAACCTTAAGTATATTCCTTACTATAAAAATACTTGCAATTGAATCGAGGCATGTTTTCATGAGAAGGTCATGTAAGTGGAAAATACATGGTGGTCTTCCACAATGAGTTGTTCGTACTATCAGTTACATTAGTTTGCAGGCTAAAAATAATTCTCTGCATTCATCTTTCACATCATAGATGTACATTTGTGATGAGAACAGAAGGGCCAATGAGTATGACTTCAAGAAAGCACTTGATCTACTGGAATATATTGATGAGGTAGGAAAAGTTTTTGAAGAATTTCTAATCCAGAAATGTGTTTTGACCATTTAAGCTAGACTGTTGCATCTGTAGTTAGTTAAGAGCATACTGGCTTGGCGTATAGTAGTTAAAAATAGTCCCTAATGCGTTTTTTGTTTTGTTTTTTTAAGTCACTGAAGATTTAATGCCAAATGTGGTTTAGATCATTGAAGAAAAATGACACTCCTCTCATCTTCAGTTCCCATTTATAGTCTACTTTCTTTTTTAGAGCCTTGCTTCCCCACAGGCTTTCTGCAAACAGGACCAAGATTTGTTTTCAGTTGTTCTGTTCTTGTATCTCCACTATTGGCAGTTTCCTCAGATTAGCATGAGATAATGTGGGATGAAGAGCTGCCAACTTTCTAGCACAGCCATAGCATTAAACTACTGATTTGCTTTTTTAAGCTTGGAGTGCTCACTGCAGCTTACTGTATGATCCAATCAATTGTCAGGAGTAACTTTAAAGTAAGCATGGGTAAATCAACATCTGAGAAACATCAAACCTGAATTAAAAGCTGTCTTCACTAAAAACTGAAAGCTGTATTATTTCAGTGAATTTCCGATTTCTCCTATGGATGGCTTGGAAGGTATTTCTTGGTAACTGAAAATGAGAGCTTTTCTCAGATTATTTCAATTCCTCCGTAATTCTATATTTCTACATAAAAGAAATCCAAATTATAATCTTCAGTAGTGCTTTATAAAACCATTGTGATGTTTTGTTGGCCTTCAGTAAACTTGATTTGATGATGTG